TGGCTGAAAGCAGACGCCATGCACAGAGCCAAGAGTACCCCCAGTGTGCCCAGAAGCTGAGAAACTCCACGTCAATGCTGATTTCTTCCCTCTGGCATTCATGTCTAGGCAATGAAACTCAACCGACAAATTTTATAATCCTCAGTTGGCAGGCGGCTGGCCCAGGGGCTCTGGGGGAGCCTCTTCAGCACTAACAAACCTCCTCCAGCTCCTACAATCAATCTGCACTGAGGACTTCAAGAAGCGGCCACGGAAGCGTTCTCAGGCACCCCGAGAGTCCTCCCCATCCGGGGTACAACATTACCTGCCTGTCCTTTTAACTCCCATCTCCCAACCCACTGCCAACGGCTGTGTGGTGACCGCAGAGGAAGAAATAAACCTCTCCATAACTTGGCTGCCTGGACGACCTGGATGCCCCAGGGACAGACGAGCTCCCGTGGCTCCACTCACCTGTGTAGCTGCTTGAAGGCAGCGAGCTGTCTGGTCCTCCATTTGGGTCCGAGGCTCCGCTTGCCACCATCACTGCCTCTTCCTCTTCCTCTTCCTTGACCTCAGGTACTTCCTCCTGTAGTTGTTCCATAATCGATCACCCCTCAGTGCCAAGACTGCAATCCCTGTCATAGCTCTGGCATCATCCGCGTCTATCCGAGATGGACCCTACCAGGCAGTTCCTGCTAGCCTGCGGGACAGAGGGAGAAAAGCGCGGTGGCAGCTCCGAAGGCAGAGCATCTCAGCAGCAGGGCGGTGCGCAGCCGCGCTACTCCTGCTCTGCTTTCTCTCCAGGGAGACAAGCAGAACCCAGGGCCTTTGAAAGGTCACTTTGCACTCTGATGTAAAACACTCTGTAGGACTCAAGGAAGCAAAAGCTCACCAGGATCGTATTTAAAGCCCAGCAGACAGAGCCCAGACCACAAACCAGCCCAGATGTCACCCAGGGACCTGGGCTTCCCAGTTTGCAAGTCCCATAGCAGAAACTGCCCCAGAAAACGTCCCCCAGAGCTGCCAGCACCCTGAGGCATCACGATGGTAGCCAGGGCTGAGGTTTGACAGAGCCAACACCAGCGGAAAGCTTAAGGCAGGGCTGGCTTCACCCTCCATCCCCACCCAGCCAAGGCAGAGCTCGGATGGAGGGCAGCGACTGGTCAGGGAGCAGCGCCTCCGTGTCCGTGGGGGGGAGATGCTGGGGAGCAGGGCTCGGTGCAGCGGCAGGCAGTGGCTGAAAGCCCCCGGCCCTTGCGAGCCATCTGCAAGATCGACGGCTTCCTGCCGGCCCCCGCGCTCACGCTCCATCCTGTTACAGCGTTTGTGTTTATTTCCACTCGTGTTGGAACCGGCCTCAGCTCCTCTGCCAAGAGCCGCCGGGTCGGACCCGCTGCCACTGGCCGCCGGGCTGCGCTTGGCCACGGGGTCCAGCAGCGCGATGGCAACAGCCACACAATCCAGCCAGTGTCTTAATCCCGGGTTTTCTGTGGGACGAACGGCCCCGTCCTCCCCCCGCGCGTTTCCGCTCCTTGTTTGCCTTAGTCCATCCCAAACAGCCCGCAAAACACTCAAGCCGTGCAAGCGACGCGTCGTCGGCACAGTGACCGTCACAGAGCTGTTCCCACCTCCCTCCCAACCATGCCGGACCTCACCGGAGCGTCCAGCTCACGCTGCAACATCCCGGCGCTCCGTTACCTCCAGATCTTGGTTCCTAAACTGACTCTTGCGTGAGTAACGTCTCAAGCCCAGCCTGGGTAGAGTTGCACCCACTTCCTTAAAGGAGCTATTTTTAATATCCATTAGAAAAGCCACTGAAATCCAGCTTCCACCAGGAAAGCCTCAATTTCCAGGCACAAGTTAAACCGATGCAGCATCTTCAAGCCCACATCAGTGAGGTGAATAAGCCACTTGCAGCGGACTCGTACCCGTGCCCAAGCCCACGCCACAGCACAGGGCTTGCTGGGGGAGGGCAGCAGTGACCCAGGACTCCCTGGGCTCGTTTCGCCCCCCTGCAGCAGACCCTCACGCCTGGCACTGTGAACTCGAGCCGCAGCCAGCTCCTTGGATTCGCTGGAACGCCGTCGGCACCGAGCAAGGTCAGAGCTTCCTGCAAGATCGAGCAAGCAGCCGAGGGGGAGGATGAAACCTGCAAGCGGGAGGTTGAACACAAACACGTGGCAAAGCCAGGCACGAGTCACCCCTCCCGGAGCTGGTGCTCCACTGGAGCCTGGGGCTCCCATGGGTGAGAGGGCTTTTCCCCTACATGCTGGGAATTCCGGCTGCAGGACAGATGGTTTTGTTTCAAGGAGAGGTGTGTTAGAGGCAAGGAGCAAGGATGACAGCCGGAGCAGGCAGAGGGGTGCTCGGAGGAGGGCAGAGCGCTCCCTTCCCGTGCCTCCGCAGGAGCACTGAGGGACCATTCAAGGGCTGTGTTATCCTTGGCCTCCTCTCGCACACCCTGCACCGTGGGACATGGCACACAGGCAGGAAAACCTATTCATCAGAGGTGGAGGGTAAGGAGCTCAATGGTGCTGAAGGCTATATATAAATGAACGTACGAACATCAGGAAAATGCTTTTGCCTGGAACAGCAGTTAGCGGGGGAAGCTTGCGGCAGGAGAAACTAGTCTACGGTGGAAAATACATCCAGCAGCTGCTTAACGAGCTTCTTATTAGCTCTTCTTTGTCTCTGGCACCCAGCACAGGCCACTTGCTTTAAACCCAGTGCAGATGGAACCCTCCGCTTCGGCCCATCAGCCTCACGGGGCGTTGCTGTTGGAATAACGCGGGCACACTCCTCCAGCTGCATCCCTCCGTCCTCCATCCACTGGGTCTACTCAGGGCCGTGCGCTCCCGGGGTGGCAGCGAGCTTGTGACACACACCTTGCTCCCCGAAACCCGCCAAAGCAACCCCAAAACTGTGCTCGCAGTCAGCCCAGCTACAGATGGGCATGTGGTCCTGGGAAGAGGGAAAGCAGAGGGCAAGATGCACACAGCAACACCGGGCTCCAGCCATGGCTCCCCACGCGGATGCAGGCACTATGGGAAGGATAAGGATTTGGATCCCACCCTTGGAGAGTGGCTGTAGAGCCAGAGAAAGAAAGGTTTTTGCCAGAAAGCTCTGTATGTGTTGTTTCAATATCTCCTTGCAGGCCAAGAGTACAGGGGCCCGGGCAGCGGGAAGCTGCGAGCGCTGTTTGCACACCTGCCTTTCCCTTCGCCATTCCCGTTTTCTAAACAGCAGAGACAGAGGGAGAGGAGAGGGAAAAGGGATTGATTTCACATGGGAGGCTGCACCCCCTGCCATGGGCAGAGGAAAGGCCAAGGCAGCCGCCGCTCGGATGAAAGGCAGGGCAGGGGCTGTGCCCGCGCACCCCGGCGCGGGGCGAGCTGGCTCGGCACAGCCCCGGAGAGACATGGACCCCCAGCCCTCCCCTCCGGGCCAGGGGCAGCGGCGTAGCAGCCCAACCTGACGGCATGTGGAGACTGTGGAGATCTGCCGAGGTTTCACTCGCCCCTCCGGTCCCCTGCGGGTCCCGCAATCCAGAGCGGGGCATCCAGAGAAGCCAGAGCTCCCCAGAGTCGTGTCCAAACTCCATCTCTCTGATCAAAAGGAAGGACCTGCCCTGCCAGCGCGGCCTGTCACAGCCCTGCATCTTCGTGGGATGGCACTGGGGACAGCTGCATGGATGGCAGAGGTTGGCCAAAGGGCCCATCTCAGCCCCAGGACCTCTCCATCCGCTCGGTGCCCCCATGTCCTGCTGCCAAGCAGGCAGAGCCAGAGGAAGGATAACTTTCTCTCCTCCCCTTGGCTAAAAAGCCACCCACCAGAGCATGGCACACAAGCCTGAAGCTGAAGCCACAAGGAGAAGGACAGAGAATCCTGCCCACCGTAGCCACCCCCTTTTTCCATTCGGCAGCTGTCACAGGGCAGCAATGGAAAGAGGATGGAAACAAGGATGAGGACCACGAATTCCTCCCTAAGCTTCTCCAGAAAACCTAGCAAAGCTGTTTCCCTTCCTCTTCCCACAGGATGGGAATGAGCAAGAGGGCACGTGTCTCATGACTTGCTCTGCCTTTGCCTCAATCCCCGTTCCAAGGAGCTTCGGCAGCTTCTCCCCCGGGAGCCTGCAGCTGGCAGAGGGTGGGTTTGTTTGCTGGCTCCGGGCTCGGGCAGATGCCCGCTGCCTGCCCCGCTCCCACTCTGCAAACAGCACTGGCAACAGGTTTCTCTTTCCTAGAAGCAGGAGCTGACATCTATGCCAAGCTAAACCATACAGTGGGAACAGGGGGAGAGACATGGCACAACGAGAGGAGGAAAAAAGCAGGAATAAAAGTTATAAGGAGACAAATCTTCAGCATGGACCTCCTGCAAGAAGGCAGGACTTCTCCAGAGCTGCCCAAGTTCCAAGCCTCCAGTTCATCAACCCACAGCTTGTACCCTTTTGGCCCGACAGCTCCTCACCGCTCATGACCATGTAGACCTCGGAGCCAAGAGAAGGAGCCTTGGAGCTGACAAACCAGCGAGGAAGCGCCCGCTTCCCCGCGGTCCGTGCGCAGGAGGGCAGCAGGGCAATGGGGTGGAGAAGCCCAGTTTCCCACCAGTACTCGAGTCCCGTGCGCAGAGCGAGGTGTCACGAGAAGGGGACGTGCGTTTCAGCACAGACACCCAGGCGTTGGCAGTCAGACAACCGCAAAATAAAAGCGAGGAAGTGCTTGTAATTAGAAGGACCTCAGCTTTACACCAGGTGTAGTGTCACTGGTGGTGAGCTCAAACAAGAGGCAATTTCAGTGTGTTCACAGAGGTGGAGAGAGGACACCTGCCCCCATTCCCCTGCAGGAGAGCATATATTTGTTTCTAATATATTTATACAGATGAGATTGACCAAGTCCCCATTGTGGTCTGGAGTGTCACCACGTGAGATCCCTCCTGGGAAGACGTGAGCTTCCAGGCAAAGCAAAGTGCCAAAAAAAGGTCCAAACCTCCCAAGGGCCAAGTCACAGAGCTGTTGTGCTCAAAGGTTTGTTCCAGTTGCTGTAAAAAACATCACCAGGAATTGCGAAAGGAAACCAGTTTACTGCTGGAGCACTTCTGGCTTGTGTCTTTATTCCTCTGGACAAAAATGTCAGCCAAATTCACAGTCAACAGAAGTGAATCCTTTCGAGAGGGGTGAGAGGAGAACCCAGCCCTCTGTACAGCAGCGCTTTACGATGTGCAGCACATACTGAACCCACAGACAGAAACTGAACTGAAGCCATAAAAAAAATGTGATCGCTGCTTGTTGGCCATCACTTGCAGACATCCCTTGGCTTGTGTCACTCCTTCCAATATCTGCTGATCAAGTACCAGTTTCTGTTCCTCCTCCTACACATCAGCCACTAATAAAAGCCAAAGAAGAGCTAAGCAGATGCTGCAACACAGGAAAGGTAAATAAGTGCACAAAACAGGAGACATGAACATCGAAAACATGTTTGTTTTTGTTCCTGAAAGATCAACATACCTCCTCATTAGCTAATGAGACCTCAGCAGCACTTACTACTCAAGTGCTTCCTTCCTTACTCAAAGTCTTGGCCGCAAGACAGGCTACACACAGAAACAAACTACCAGAGGTAGCAAGGAAGAGCCCTTCCACGCAGCCCTGGCCAGCGCTGACACTCAGGGCCACGTTTTCCCCTTGAAGCATCTGCTCAGACGTT